ACCGTCCCTTTTTCCTCAGCCACTCTTCCTTGGTCAATTCCCTAGCGCTCTGCCCATCTATCGTCTCAAACGCAACCAGCAAAAGCTTCTGCCCCGGCGCGCCGAGGTCTCGCGCGTCCACGTCCAGGTAGTGCCAGAACCCGTCGTTCTCCAGCGGGACGATATGATCCTTCGCCCCATCCTTGCCGTTGAGCTTTAACCCGACAGCACTGTTTACCCCTGCCGATCTCTCCGGCCGGCCAGTGCTCGCACAACTTGGCAAACTGGAACCGCACCGTCCCGCCGCTGCTCACGTTGATGCGCCGCTGCATCGGTGCAAAGTTGCTCTCGTCGAGCCCTTCCCGCGTCGCGTCGCCCATCCACTCGGCCGGCTCGTCGCCGATGGGGCCCATGATGTACTCCTCCCACGACAGCGCGCGGCCGTCCTCGCGGTACCAATGCCTCTCGTCGGCGGGGAAGTGGCGGGTGCCGAATTTCTCGTTGCTCATGGTGAAGCACTCGGCGGCGAAGCGCTGCGAGTACTCGCCGTTGCAGAGCGCGCCAGCGCCCCAGCACGGATCGATCAGTTTCCAGGCGCCGCCGTCGATGCGCACGGCGTTCCACGCGTGGCCTGTGGGCTTGCGCGGTGGCGGCGGTTGTCCGGCCTTGACGGGGCTGAACCCGAAACCCTTACCGTGACCCGTCACCACCACGCACCCCAGGCCAGCCCGCACGGCGATCGCCTCGTACACGCGCGCGTACCCTTCGCAGACGGCCTTGCCCGAAAAGATGGTCTCGGTTGGGGTTAGCCCGCGCGGGATGCAGTTGTTGAAGAACCCATGCACGTCGTAGACAATGTTGTGGTGCATCCACGCAAAGATGGCTCGCGCCTTGTCCGTCGGTGAAGAGAAGGGCGCGCAGAGTGTGTACGCCAGGTGGTCGATGGGGTCGGCGGCACCGGCGCCGCGCGGGATGGAAGAGGTGGGGTGCTGCGCAGCCAGCGTGTCCGGGCCAGAGAAGTCGCGGCAAATGAGGCAAGATTGAGGTGACGCATTGGGAGGGGCCGTTGTTGCTGGGGCTGTTCGGCTTGCTACCGCGTCAATTTGGGCGACAGTTGGCCGGGAACTGAGCGGAATCGGGGGTGGTACTGGGGGAGGTGACGGCTTGCGCGCGCCAGAACCGAAACCGCTTTCAAGCGCTGACTTGGGCCGGAAACTAGACGGTAGAGGGGCCATGCGCCGGGCTGGAAGCGCGGGCGATGCCTGCTCGGGAAGAACGATGGCTGGCGAGTTGGCCGGCCTCGAGGGTAGGCGAGGAGGCTGAGAAGGCGGGGGCGGGTCGGCAATGCGCCTGGGCGGTAGCGAGGGTGTGCTATTCCCATTCACAGCTTCTTTCGCCTTTGCCTTGGGGGGCAGCGGCGGAAGGTTGGCTTGTTCGAGCGGCGGGGGTAGCCTTCTTCGTGTTTGTGTCTCGGCCCCCCCATTGGTTTGGCTTAGCGACAGACTCGATACGGTAGATAGCTGAGATATATCCGAAGCGTTTGAGTTCCTCCTGACAGAAAGCGTCTGCGTAGAAGGGCGGCGCGTGGGCAGATTTGGTGGGGTCGCAAGCTGTGAGTTCCGCGTCGGCAGCGGAGGGGGTCCAGGACGGCCCGACGGAGGTTGCGGCTGATCACCATTCTCCTGCCCGGTGGTCCGCCGTGGAAGAGGTGGCGGCAGCTTCTCGGTGGCAGCCCGAACGGGCCGGGGCGGGATTGAAGGGCTCTTCTCGGCCGAAACAGTCTCGGATGTCGTCCTAGTAACGTTTTCGGTCAAAGACCGGACCGGGGGTGGCGGAGGTGGGGGTCGTTTGCCAGCAGTTGATGGGGGAGCCTGGAAGTTCTTCTGCTGGTTGAGAGCAGCAATGCGCTCAGCGAGCGTAGTGAACTGCGGCGCCTCTTCATCGGCCATTTTTGTGATTGTAGATCGGATGACTTGTCGCTTGTGGTGTTGTCGGATGGAGCGACGTTAAAAAGCAACTTGAATTGGACTGTGCCGCTTCAGCGCTGCTGTGGCAGGCAGGACCGAGGCTTGGATGATGATCAGGAAACGGATTGGTTTTCAGCTTGTTAATTGGCTCGGCCACAGTCGGTTTCTATCAATCAAACCCAGACGAAGGATGAGTGAAGGAAGGCTCAGGCGGGGCGACTGGAGCCTAGGTACCTAGCAAGAAATGCAACAACCAAAAAGTTCAAGCAACAGGAACAAATAAAAAATAAGTTGAAAACTGAGCAAAAAGAAAAAAATCGGGCAAAAACAACAATCGAGAACTACAAACACAACGCAAAACAAATCATACATACGTATATTTTCGGAACCAATAATGTTGCTTGAAGGGTTGAGCACTTATCTTGGGGCTCTTCTAGTCCTCGACATAGTCGGCAGCGGTTTGCTCGACACACGGGGAGTCTGGCCCTTTTTGCCCCACGAAGGGGGTTCGCGCTTGACTCACAAACCCCTGTATCAAACCGCCAAACTCACCCCACACTCAAGGTTGCTTCCCCAATCGTCGCCCCACTCCCCGGCCATAGTGGGCGCTAAGCTACCCCGGCCCACTCGCCCAGACATCCCGCTACCCGCCATATCCATGCACATCGACCCTGAGATTCCTCCGCATTCATCGGCTTTTGCAAAGACGTTCCTGCTTCATCCCATCTCTTTAAGGTCCCTAACCATGCCTACAAAGTGACAAACATCATCTACGCATCGGCCTTTGTTCAGAGTGTGGACTACGATTTCCTCTCCAGGCATTGGATTTCAAAACCACGAAAGTGCAGGGAGTTCTTAAACAGTTCCAGCTTGGCCAAGGATAGCCCCGCTCAAGGGCCAAAAGTTACAGCACCGATCTCTACCTGCCCGGCCTAGGCAGTGTAGGTTACTTTACCTTGCCTTACTCAAAGTCGGCTTCTAGGTACAGACACTATACTACTACTTGCCTGCTCGACTCTTTTCACCCCCGTCCGTTTCGCGCAACACCAACCATCCGCATCCTACAGTACATCGTCCTCGCACCGACCTTCCGTTTCCGTTTCCCCACCCTGACCCGGCCACAACTCGCCACGCCATGGCTTTCATGGCCGCCTCCCCGGCGACTCAAGATGCGCTTGCGGGCTCAACAGCACCCCGCCCCTCCAACTTCATGGACTTGCCACACGAAGTTCAGAGGGAGATCATCAGCCATTGCCCAAGGCGCGTTCTAATCTGCGTGGCCTTGGTATCAAGGCACTTCCGCGACCTTGCTGCCGCCCAGCTGTACCGAGACTTCGAAATCGTCTTCCCGGATGAGGAGGATCCCCAGTTCGACACTCCGGTCGATCCTCTTGCCGGCGGATTTGACACCTTTGTCACGAGTGACTACAACTATGCGCAGTGTCTCAGGAGTCTGACTTTCGACACACTCTATATGGGCGACAAGGCCGAAGGCGCCTATCGCCCATATTCGGCTAACTTGAGCTGCGGGAAGTTTATGAACACGCTTCTTCTTCTGACATTGCGCAAGGCTCGGGCGCTTGAGTCTTTTACGTGAGTCTTCCGCATCTAAACGGTCCCCCGGCTCGCTGTTTGCGATATGTCTTGCACGTGCCAGAGGCTGACATTCTCCCCAGGTGGAACATCCGAGTCGAGCTCAGCCGTCCAGTCTATAAAGAGCTGCACCAGATCGCGTCTTTGTCACACGTTCACGTAAGACTCCAAGCAGGACCTTCGCAATACGAAACGCCCCCGCCCCTTCCGTACAACCCATCCCAGTCGAGCTCCCCGCCGGGGCCGGCCCACGGCGCGCCCATAGCTTCCCTCCCTCCCCCCGCGCCAGCATTTGGGCTCATCCCCCCACCCCCTCCCCAGGGTTTCTATGTGCCCACCTCAAGCATGCTTCCGCCCCCATTGCCCAAGCCACCTCGCACTAGAACTGCGAAGAAGGTGGCGGTGGGCAAGGAACCTCCAACTCTGTCTGGCTTCAGGGACCTCAAGAGTCTTTCTGTTCTCGACATCGACACCCTCGACATTGTATCGGAACTCCAAGCCTGTCTGCGCAATTCCGCGGGGACCCTCACGAAACTCGAGCTATCCTTCTCGGAGAAACTTGCCTCGTCGGCCCGGAAACCCACCGAACCCGAGCCCGAAGACTCGGATCAAGAGGACGAACTAATGCCGATACCAACACAGCCGCACGGACAAAACGATGAAATGAGCGGACCAGCTAAGGCTTTCCGCGCGCAGGAGGAGAGAAAGACGCAAGATTCCATTCTCGGCAGGATTTTCGACGTCGAGACCACACCAGCTGAAAAGCTTCAAGCGATTGTTGTCGATTCTGATAAGAAGAAGAAGGGGAAAATCAAGACGGAGCAGGAGGTGGTCGACTTTATTAAATCGGTCGCTCCAAAGGTCTTGGGAGAACTGAACGGCACGAGCGATTTTGTGGCTTCGCCCGAAACTATTGATATGTTTGGTGCCGCGGCTCGAAAATACATGGATGAAGCCAAGTCGCGGAAAGAGAAGCAGGCCGAGAGTTCGGGCGGAACAGGCTCCTCTTCCTCTGGCACCGTTGAAACGTCCGATACCAGCACTACAGAGACATCTGCAGAGCAGGTATCCGCAGATGTGCGTGCGGAGGAAAACGCCCCGGAGGTGAGCCTTTTTGGCGAAGCGAAGGGAGAGAAAAAGGACGCAGACCCCGATGATATCGACATCGAAGCGCCCGAGGAACAGCTCACCATCGACCCCGAAGAGCCATCAGCAGTTGATTTCCAGGCCGAGGAAGAAGAAACCACGCCAACCGAGGTTTCTCCATCCACGGCGGCGGCCCTTGTCGACACCAAAGCGGAAGAATATGCGAAGGTGATGGCTACGTTGGAATCGCGAAAAGCCGACTTCAAGGCTTTGGCTGAAGAACTGGAACTTTTCGAATCTCAAGCCAACACCCTGGGCAAGGAGATTCGGCGATGGCGCGCCAACAAATCGTCCAACGACATAAACCACCTTCGAGAGGCCGAGTCGCAACTACTAGGGCTCACACGAAGCGTGCGCGACATGCAAAAGGAGATCAGCGCGTGCCAGATCGCGATAGAGAGCGCCGAGCCGGGACCGCCGGGCGAGAAGGACTCGCGTACCGAGCAAGCTCGTCACATACGCGACTACATTCGGCAAACGCGGGGCGTCGCCCTCGAATCTCTCAGCATCTATCTCATCCCTGTCAGGGCGTCGGTCCTGTCCAAAGCGGTTGACCTGCGCGCCCTTCGGCACCTGACGCTGCTCAATGTCGGGATCCAAGCACCTATCTGGGCCTTGTTGGATAGGGAGAACAAGGAGGCGCCGCTGCTGTTGCGCAAGATTTCCACCGACAACGTCTCGCACATCTTTTTGAGCTTTGTATCAACTCTCGAGGAGCTGCACGACCTCTTCTTGCTTGAGCGGGAGATCAAGGCCAAACCAGAGAGCCTTGCGCCCAGGACTCAAGTGACCATGGACCAGATCCGGCGATTGGTCCTCAAGAAGCACATGCCCAAGCTGCGGCGCCTAATGATCAAGAACATGGCCGACACGAGCTGGGATGTCGACGATAAGACCGTTTTGCTGTGTTGTAGGCAGGGCAAGAAGCTCGAGGAACTGGCTTGCAGCATGAGCATACGAGCCATGGTACGTCCCCTCCCCCCCTTTGCCCCAGCTCACCTCTATGTACTAACCTGCGCCGCGTGAACAGCACTGCCTGATGCAGCACTTGCCCGGCCTAACCACCCTCCGGGTTCTACATGTCATCCACCTACGTAACGACGACACGTGCATGTGGGTGATGCGCGAGACTAAGCGATTTCTCATCGACATAGTCTCGCATTACCCTGATCTGAAACTTAAGTTGGTCTCGATAGATGAAGATGACCGTGTCGATAAGCTCGTGCGGTTTCCAGAGCCTAAGAAGACTGCCCTCGAGAAGGAGGTCGGAGGTGGGGACGGGACGACGGCGACCAAGGGGAAGCAGAAGGCTCTAACCTCGATTCCGACCCTAATATCGACGCTCTCGGTTAACGCCCTGTTGGATTCGACATCGGGCGTGGAGCTGGATGTCCCTGCGCTCATTGCGTCGGAACTAGGGGGGATGGAGGAAGAGTCCTCGGACGAGGAGGACGATGAGTCTAGTGGACAGAAGATCGCCGTCTTTGAGGGGATTGCGTTCTGCGAGGTGGCGGACGAGGCGGTGATCTTCAAGAAGGAGGTTGTTACTGGCCGCCTCTAAGAGTCAGTGGGAGGTGTCTCCTCCTAGTATGGGGAGGGAGTCCGGGATGGCAGGATAATGGTTCGTGTGAAGAGGCGTAAAAAGGGATATCGAGGCGAAGAGTGGTACGGAGGTGGACGGGTTGCATCGGAAATTTTCTTTTATTTTTCTTTTGGTCATCCTGGTTGTCTGTCCGTCAGCGTGCTGTGTTGTTGTTGCTCATTACGGATCTGTTTTGGTGAAGAGCGAGCGGAATACCCCTTAGTATTGCGGTAGTTATTGATGGACATGATTACACCGCCTGCATCGGATGAGATGGACCAGTCCGGCTTTGAACTAACTAGCAGCCCAAGGCGCCGGTTGGAAACACAAGCGAGCGCGGCATTTGGGCGTAAACCGTTGAGTGAGTTTAGCTTACAGGACGAGGTAAGATGCTTGCTAGTTCTCAGGATCCGGCGGGCTTATTATCTCTCTGTCTCTATAGGTTGTGTTGTGTCTGGAGGGAGTGAGTGGGAGGGGGCTGTGTAAGTCCAGATGAAGCGAAACGCCGCGCCCAAGTTTTACACCCACCAAGCCACCCCCTCAGATACCCGCCGGCCCCCTGTCATCATGGTGCCTACCATACAGTATATCAATTGCAGTGGCCTGGCCGCCCGTTTCATCGAGACCGAGCAATTGCGAAACTCAGATTTCCAGGCAAACATGAAATACAACTTCTTAAATTCTTACAGCCATCACATCACCTAACTATCGTATCTTTCATTGTCGCCCGCACCATGCATGCATTCTTAACCATCCATCCATCCTCCATCCATCCATCCGCCCAATGCATCCCATCTTATACCATCCCATCCCGGGCCGTTCCAGCCTATCCAATGCAATGCTAACCTCTAATGCTATATGATTTCAACAAACCTACGCAAACCAGCCACCCACCCGTATGTACCAGCCATACCATATCGCATACAGAAACACCACACCACTCACCACTCACCAACTACTCGGCCACTTACAACGAAGAAGCCGCAGCAGCAACCAATCCATCCCAAAGCGCGGGAGAGACACCCCGCACCCATCAACGCCCGCGGCACCTCAACCGACGACGTCAGCAACAACCCCCCACCAACACCACCAACACCACCCACACCGCTCCCACTCCCCCCCACCGCAACCATCGCCTCCCTCTCCCTTGCCCCCGCCACCACCCTCCCCACAACACTCAACGTCCTCTGCGCCCTCCTCGCCGCCTCCATCCCCAAGTCCAACCCAAGTCCCAACCCCACTCCCACCCCCAGCTGCCGCGCACGACTACGCCCCCTCTCCCCCACCCCACCAATACTGACAACACCAACCTCGGCCAACCCCCCGCGATGCAGCGCATCCGCCAGCAACGCGGCCGCCGCGGCGCGCGTGTCCGGGTCGGGGGTATGCGTGGCGACGAGGATAGAGGGGTCCGAGGAGGTGAGTGTGGGCGTCGGCGGTGGGGAACAGAGGTGTGCTGGGGCTGTCGCGGGTGTTGGCGCACAGGCGCGAGGCGAAGATGTAGGATTGTGGGTAGGAGGCTTGGGTCGCGGTCTGGGTTGGTGGGGAGGAGTTGATGGTGTTGGTCTTGGTGTTTGGGCTGGGGAGGTGAAGGCGTGTTGTTGTCTGCCGTCTGTTGTTGGTTGCTGGTGATCGTGGCAGGGCTAGAGGAAGGTGTCGAGAGCGAAGATGCTGCTGCCGCCCGCAGGTGTTGCCGATGAGGAATTGAGCGCTGTGAAAGTGCATGAGGGTGAGGTACAGGCTGGCAAGCTCGAGGCTGGTGAGGTCGGGCATGCCGAAGCGGAGCGGAGAGAAGAAGTCAGCGATGAGCGCGCCGAGGCGAGCGCTGCGGGCCACGAGGCAGGCTTGGATGCGCTGCTAGGCCGAGTCCGCCCAGAATAGAGCCGAGGCCTCGTCCCCTGCGGCCGCGGCCGTGGAGATCTCGTGCAGGCGAGCTACAACGTCGTGTTGGAAGCAGGACATGGCCATGTGGGCGTGCAGGACGTCGTGGAAGAGGTTGTAGGTGGAGCCGTCGTCGAAACGGCGGGTGAGGTACCCGCGCGCCGAGATGACGGGCTGGATGCCGTGGGTGAAGAAGCACGCCGACAGCTCGAACCGGGCGAAGAGCTGGACGATGTCGGACATGAGCAGCGAGTCCCGGCTCGACGGCCAGCAAAACATAGAGCCATCGGCGAGGCAGTCAAAGGTGGAATCAGGGAGGGATTGGAGGATACGCAGGCCGTTGGTGAGGTGAGTGACGGCTATCTCGTGGTTACCACGTAGGGTCTCAAGCGAGATGAAGGCCAAACAGCAGACGAGTGTCAAGCGGAGGCTCTCCGGGCTCGAGGAACCGGCATGGTTCTGCAACCGCTCGATGGACCGGCTATATTGCTGAATGGTGAAGACTTCGAGATCTCCACGGGCGAAACCATCGATGACGGGCTCGTCCGGGTATTGGAAGAGCTGGTAGGCGGCGGCCAAGGCTATCACGGCATGCTTGACGGCGTCGTCCTGGCAGCCGGTCGATGGACTCAACCTCCGCCAAAAGGCTGCAAAGTTGCAGAGGTGTGCGGCAACCCCGTCGGCCGTGGCAGCCCGGAAGCGGGCGAACAGTCGCTTCTCGGTCTCGGTTCCATCGATGTCGGCCTCGATCCGTCGCATGGACCGGAGGGTCTCGTTCCACTCGCATGCCCTCACAAACTCGGCCCTGGCTCGCTCTGCCGTCTGGTTCGGATCTGGCGAGCGGTACCGGGCGAGGGCGGCTTTGTCGTAACCGTCACATGTCCGGCCGGTCGAGGTGCATCGGAGACAGGCGGGCTTCCCATTCGTCACATTTTACTCGCCGGATTCTGGGGACTGATTAGTGAACCCGAACTTGCCACCATCGGACGCTTTGCAGGCAGCGACTACTACTCACTTGCTGAGAACACAGCGTTAGTGGCCAGTGTCACTAATACGGGGAAAAGAAAAGGCCGAAGCTTACCATGTGATGCAGCCAGTTCGTACCTTGGGCTTGCTGGCTCTTGTGCGTTTCCTCGGCGGGTCTGGTGGCGTCCCGGCAGGCGATGGAGACGGGCTGGACGGGTTGCTGCTCGGCTCAAGGCTCGAGCGGTTAGAGGAGGAGTGGGGGGACATGATGTCGTCGACGGCTCGGGATGCCAACCACAACGGGATCGGCAGTCAGGCAGTCAGGGGCAAGTGTTCGTTCGTATAACGGTACGACTGGTTGGCGAGGACGAGGGACGTGTGGGCAGATTTTATTCTGGCTCACATATTCATATTGAACTCTGCAGCAGGTGTGGACAACACGATCCCCGGCCTGCATCGAGATAGGGTCCATGCCCCTTTCCGGGAGGGCGGCAAGGCGGGTTGGCCACCCCCCTCCGGGCCCCGACTATTTTCATCCAGCATCATGTAAGTGTTCACCGCCTGGGCCACACGGGCTCCATTGAACCCCATCAGCCCGTCATCACCTTAATCGCCTTAACGAAAGGCCAAGAAGCAACGCCGGGCAAGGCCAGGGCGCGTTGCGTGTCAGTTTGTGCCAGTTCTGTGTCAGTTGACGAAGTGAGTGGTCATGGACCGACCGGGGGACAAACTCCGCCCTCCGCCGCACAGAGAAAGAACGAGTCTGGAAAGGGAAGGATACTCGACGCATGTTGCCATCGATGCATGCCAGCTCCAGGCTGACCGTAAATGGGACCGTAAATCGGTAAATCGGTCGACTTGGTTCTTTCCTGCCGTCATTCGACCAAGCCAAAAGTCTGCAAAAGTTGGCGAATCGGCTGCAAGTGCAGGTGCAAGAAAGGGCTGCCTTCCATGCCTTCCCAATGCAGTGACTAAGCGTAGCCCTGTTCGGGGAACTGACTCCGCTAATTTTAGTGTGTCAAAATGTCGCTGCCTGGTCCCCTCGTCGTTCTTGTTCTTGCACTTTGGACGTGGAGTTCTTTTCTTTGGCTCTTTCCTTGTGGCCCGTCTCACGGCGCTGAATAACGCTTTCTTACCTTGGGTTTTGCTTGTGTTTGACCTGGACGGCGTAGCCGATTCACCACCCCCAGGGTTCAAAGTTGACTTAGAGTGGCTCTTCCAGGGACTAGCCAACCAATGAAATCCCATGGGGGAGTCTCCTTGCTCAGTTCCTTCTTCTACATCCAACTTGGAAACTTTGCCATGTTCGGCCACTGCCAAACTGAGTCGTAGAGCTACTAGACAACGCAGACAAGACTAGATGGCGACTATGACAAATATTTGTCTGCCAAGTCCACGATGATACCCCTAAACCCCCTCTTTACAAGGTACATACAAGTGCGTTGAGAATTACCTCAACGCCAATCCCTGACTGTGGCTAGTAGAGCTCGTCATACAACAGACTGTCCTGTCGGGGTCCCCTCGTAGGGCCTCGTGGGCCTTCTGTCCCCTTCCAACTCTCGTTCTAGAAGCGGAAGCTCAAGCGAGAGAAGACGGATTAGGTTCTGACAAGACCCCCCTCTGGCGTCACAAGATGCCCCCATTGGACCGGTCCCCCCAGATCTTTCTCAGATAAGATCAGACTAGCTAGGCAGCACAATAAAACACCTTGCCAAGCCGGCTGTCCCTCATTGACTGGGGCTGTTGTTGGTCGAGAAAGGTGGGTGAGATGCTTGGATTTTTCGGGATACGAAGACGGGACGACTGTGGACGACGTCAACCTCCCTCATTTGTTTTCGTAAATAGGAAACGCCTTGGCTACCCGGGAGTAAAACAGGCGGGCTTATTATGGTCAGGGTTCGGCGTTCATTCAACCAGAGGAAACGCAAGACGAGGTGGATGGCCATGGTCAGAGGTATGGATGCTCGGTGTTGCGGTCTCCGTGGAAACAAATCGGAACCACACACGATTCAATCGGGTATGGTGTAGCGGTAACATCGTTGACTCTCACTTCTCAGGAGTGACTGCTCTCTCAACAGCCCCGGGTTCGACTCCCGGTATCCGAGTCACTTTTTGAGGTTTTTTTGTGTTTTTATTTTTTTTTCTCCCTCAGTCATGCGGGCTGGCCAATTGCATTGCACCTGCCCAATCCGTCCATTTTGGGGGCGAATCGAACGTGGTCTCATGCCGCGTTAAACATTCCCCAGATGGTTGGCGGGCTCTCTGCGCCTGTTTCGGGCTTCTCGCTTGGTGGTTGCCGCTTTCAAGGGGTTTCCAGGTTGCTTCACCCCTGGGTCTCCATCCAATCGGGCCATTCCGTCGCATTGAAACGGCACAGCAGTAGCGGGTCCCAGGGAAAGGACCCTTGTCCCTTGTAGCGTGTTGACATTTCGTCATCCGGAAATCTGTCAAGATGCCATCGAACAGTTCGACCAAAATATCCAATTCTTCCTACCGCAAGGCGCAAAGCGTGGGGCAGGCAGCGGCACTCGCCGCACACACACATGATCGATTCGATTCGGTTCTTTGTGCTCTTTGTGCCCTGACCGGCAGCTCACCATGACGTCGTCGTCGCTGTCCCGCACCGAGTCGCTCAGTCTGCTCACCCTCTCGGCCGCCTGCGTCGCTATCCTCTGCAATGTCTTTGAGGGCGATGACAAGCCGCTCATCGTGTCGCTGGCCCTCAGTGGGCTGGCATTCTGCGCTACTTTTGCCCTCATCCGCTGGCTCGGCCCGACCTTCATCAAGGCCGGCTTCAAAGGCGTCGACCTGAGCAAGCACAACCGCCGAGAGATCCCCGAGTGCATGGGCGCCGTGTGCGCCTCTGTCTACTTGTTTGCCATGATCATATTTGTGCCATTCGCCTTTTACAAGGACGTGGTTGCCGCTACGAGTGGAGGCGGGAATAGGGACGTGGTGCTGCAAGTCGAGCATGTGCAAGAGGGCCGGTTCTTGCATCGGTTCCCACATAGCAAGGCGAGTTGCTCCATGTTTAGCTAGCTATCACATACAGGAGAGTTGAGTTACTAACAACTCCTTTCCAGCTCTCATCCTACCTTTCAGCCATTGTCTCACTCCACACGATCGCCTCCCTCGGTCTGGCTGACGACCTCTTCGATATCCGCTGGCGCCACAAGTTCTTCATCCCCGCCTTCGCAGCGATCCCTCTCCTCGTCGTCTACCGCGTCGACTTCGGCGTGACCTCCATCGTCGTCCCGATCCACCTCCAGCCCTACCTCGGCCAGCTCGTCGACCTCGGCGCCCTCTACTATGTCTACATGGCGGCCGTGGCCATTTTCTCCCCCAACAGCATCAACATTCTGGCCGGCATCAACGGCATCGAGGTGACGCAATCCATCGTCATCGCCACGCTGCTCGCGCTCAACGACGCACTCTACCTACTCACGCCCTACCCGCACCCGGCCACCGACTCGCACCTCTTTTCGCTCTCCTTCCTGCTCCCCTTCCTGGGCGTGTCGTGCGCCCTGCTGTACCACAACTGGTACCCGGCGCGGGTGTTTGTCGGCGACACGTACTGCTACTTCGCCGGCATGGTCTTTGTCGTGGTCAGCATCCTCGGCCACTTCAGCAAGACGCTGATCCTGCTGCTGCTCCCGCAGATCTTCAACTTTGTCTACTCGGCCCCGCAGCTCTTTGGCCTCGTCCCTTGCCCCCGCCACCGCCTGCCCCGCTTCAACGCCCGCTCCGGCCTGCTCGAGCCGAGCGTTACGCCCTGGACCGAGGCCCGCCAGCCGCGCGCCCCGATTGCCTGGGGGTTGCGCCTGTTGGGGAAGCTGCGGTTGTTGAAGGTTGTGTTGGACGGCGAGGGGCGGTTTGTCGAGACGAGCAATTTTACGCTGTTGAATCTGTGGTTGGTATGGCGGGGTCCCCTGCGGGAGGATCGCCTGGCGGCGGAGATTACAACCGCGCAGGTGGTGGTTGGTGTGATGGGACTGTTTGTGAGGCATTCGCTGGCGAGCCTGGTGTTTTTGGAGGATAATTGGAGCATACACTAGGTGGTTTTCTTAAGGGTTTTAGATAGACAGACGGGCAGGACTGTATGTAGACTTCAATACCGGCTTTTTCTGTTGTTGCTGACGTAGTGACACCCTTCCTCGAATTGGCAAGGTACTCGAACGCCACCAATGCCTATCCATCCCCACAGTAATTTGCCTGTAAGTCGGGAGGATGGTTGACATCGCGAGCTCTTTTTTCTTCCCACACTCTTCTTCCATTTTGTTGTTTTAAACGCATCCGGCACTTCTGAGCAGCTCTAACAATGACCGATACCCCCGAGCAACGCATTCAAGCTGCCATCGCCGCACTGCGTGCCAACAAGGCCCCCAGCATACGGCAAGCTGCAATAGCCTTCAACATTCCCCTCACAACCCTCCATGACCGCTTCACTGGCCGCCACGAATCCAACCGCAAGTCGAAACAGGTCATGCAGCGACTATCACTTGCCGAAGAAGATATAATTGTCAAAGCCGCATGCCAACTCGATGCGCGGTGATGGCCGGTGTCTATCCCTTCGCTACGCAAACTAGCAATGGAGCTGTTGATCGCGAAGAACGACCACCGCCCTCTTGGGCAGTGTTGGCACAGGAACTTCTTTAAAACGCCACCCCGATCTGAAGATGCGCCGATCCAGGGCGTTGGACCAAGCCAGGAAGGGCGCTGTGGATCGCAAGTCCCTCGCGGCGTGGTCTGTCTTGTCTCGGACTACCCAGTTGGAGGACATCGCCGACCACGATATCTAGGTATTACCAATTGTGAATTCCCTCCCCTCTCGGCCGGTAATTCCATCCCAGCAAGATTAATCAACATGATCAGGCCAACCAACTCACCACCCTCCTCACCCCAATCACCCTACCAATCCCCAATATCCAACACGCTCACCAGCACCCTATTCGTCGTACTCGGCGGCAGCTGCCCAGCCCCCATAATCAACAACCTCGGCGGCGCACCCTTCAACACCCTCAAATGCCTCGTATACGCATTCCCCGCGCCCGTCCCCACCCGCCGCCACTCCGACCCGGGCTCGCCCAGCCCCGTATTCACAAACACCTCGCCCGAGCTGTGCGCGCCCGCAATGATCGTGCCGTTCGCCCCGCCCGCCGCGCTCCACACCACGTACGGCGACCCCGTCGGGACGTAGCCGTCCGCCGTGCGCAGCGGCACGCCCGCGGCGGCGCCGAACGCTTCCGGGTCGCTGGTGAGTTTGTAGTGCACGGGGAATTGGTAGCCCGGGAGCACGGCGCTGCCGCCGTGCTCGTAGGTCATAATGAGTTTGTTGTTTGGGAGGGTGGCGACGGTGGGCATGCCGGGGCGGTCCGTGTAGATGGGGGAGGTGACGTCGTCGGTGACGGGGCCCCAGGTGCGGAGGTCGGTGGTGGTTTGGTGGACCATCTTTTGGCCGTAGGTGGTGTTTTGGCGCTGGTCCGAGTAGAAGCAGATGAGGGTGGGGCCGTGACGGAAGAGGAAGGGCTCCCAGACGGGGGTCTTGTCGTTGTTGGGGATGGCTTCGCCGCCGGCGGCGATGTGCGAGACGAAGGTCCAGGTGCGGCCGCGGTTGGTGGAGGCGTAGAGGTCGATTTGCGTGCTGGAGAGGTCGGTGGGGATCGAGCTGCCGGCGAGGAGGACTGTGTCTTTGGGGAAGTCGCCGAAGGGTTCGTCCAGGATGTAGAGGAAGGGTTGGTAGCGGAGGCCTGGGAGGGGGTGTTAGGTTCTGCCTGGTCATCGCATCACGTGGTGGTTTTTGTCAGGGCTGGAGATTTACCTAGCCCGTTGGCTGTGTCCTGGACACGCGAGATCTCCTTCCAGCTGTAACCGCCGTCGGTGGAGCGGAAGATGGGGAAGTACACTGGGGGAGGCTCGGGGCTGTAGTTCTCCCACGTTGCGAGCAGGGTGCCATCTTCGAACTGCGCCGTGCGGGCGTATAGCACGCGCGGATCAGTGTAGTTGTCGGGAGGTGTGAAGACGACGCGCTCGGTAAACGTCTCGGGTGTCTTGTGCTTCTTGGGAGCGGCGGAGACGAGCGGGAGGAGAGAGACGACGAGCGTGGACCACTTCATCTTGATGGCTTGAACGCTTGAGTACCTAGCCTACCTCAAGACTCACATATTCACATCAGGACAGGCTCGAGCGAGCTGATTATATGGATATTTGAATACAACCTCAACGGCTCAGCCTCACCATCGCCCGCTACCGGAACTTGCCGTTGTGAATATCACAAGCTTGGGAAGCTTCTCGTGGTCGGCAACTCTTAGTAGCAACGATTGGTGCGGCTACGAGTACTAGGTAATCCGTACCTGCGTATCCGCCTTAGCTTGTGCAATGTTCTTAAATCGGAACTTGATGCCGTCATCGAAAGTCTAGTCGTGCCTCATCGAGTGCCGAACGGGTCAAACCTCCGTTCTCTCCCATGAGAACCCCAACTTGCCTAGACATCTCGGCAGTATTCCATGAACCTGGTTAGCCTCAGGATCCACTAATCGAAGCTTCCGCGTGGATGAAGGACGGTTGGGCTCCGGATGCGCTCCAATTGCGAGATTGGTGGTGGATAATTCCTTGGTGTTTGGTGCTCGGTCCTCGTCGGTCGTTGATCGAGCCAAGAGCGAGCTGTTCTCGCCCCGGCTATTTCCACCAGTAAATGCCGACGCCAGTGCTGCGACCCCCTGGAACGGCCCCTCTAATCCGGGGTTCTCACCCACCATCCACAACCGAGAACCTCCATACACACTGTGCGGCGCATCAACAACAACCCGAATTCACAACCTCCGCCTGCAACCACCATGTCGAAAGCGGCTGCGTTTCTGGCAGATCCGCCAACAGCTGACGACCGCCCGAGCTTTGAGACCATCATCAAGCACGGCCACCAGGACCTCGTGCAGGCCGTTGCCTTCAATGGCCACGGCGACCGATGCGCGACGGGGTCTGTCGATGGCAAGATCCGCGTCTTCAACCGCCACAAGGACGGCTCCTGGCGATTATGCGATAGCTGGAGTGCCCATGCAAGCGAGATATTAGAGGTATTATCTGGCTTCCTTTTTCTGCTCGGTTTCGAGGTGCCCCAGCTCCAGCTCCCCGCTAACAAACCCCTCTCCCCTTCTAGATCCAATGGCTCCCGACAACCATCTACCCCAACCTCCTCGCCTCGCTCGGCATCGAAGGCCGCTTCAAGCTCTGGGCCGAGGATCCCTCCGCCGCCCCCGGCCGCCGCTTCGCCGAGTCCACCCGTAACGGGCCCCTCATCACCATCCCCTCGCGCTCCCCACACCTTCACGCCAACCCACTACCAACAACCGGCTATGGCAGCCCCGCGCCCCCAGCACCGCCTCCACCCCCCTCTACCTACGGGGACAACACCACTACCGCCGCAACCGTCAAGCCCGCCTTCGAAACCCGCAATGCCCGCTCCCCCTACCGCTCCTTCTCCCTCAAGCACCTCGACGACAGCCGCATCACCTACCTAGCCCTGCTCTCCGCCGACGGCGGCCTGACGGTTTACGAGAACGACCGGGTCGAGAACCTCGCCTCGTTCACCCTACTAGACGAGCTATCGACAATCCCGACAGCCGCCACGACGGCGGCTCGACGACCACACAGGCGCGAAAGCGCGGCCCGTAACCATCCGTCGGCGAGGGAGACGTCCTTTCCAAGGTGCGGTTCGACCTCGCAAACCCGGAGGTGTGCTACACGGCGCTGGGCGCGGGGGTGCCGTCGGACGCGCTGGGCTTGGCCGGTGGCCGTCATGGACCGTCGTGCGCGTCTACGCATCAGCGACATCATTTGCTGCGGTTCTCAGGCGTCGTCTGCATCTGGAGGGCTTCTACTCGTCAGCTGAGCTCGGGCTCGAGCCTGCACGCGGCTGGTCGCGACG